TTAGCTGGAGTGCGGTATATCACAAGGCTTAGTGCTAGGTGCTTGACTATACTTGCTATTCATAAGCGATCCAATAAGGGCGATTATTTTCGACTTGCGCTTCCTCGTAGATGATATTAAGACAAGTAGAGCAATCAGGGAACCGGACGACCTTGAAGTGTTCCAGTGCAACCTTAAGACGATCGTGAAAACTGGTGTTTTCCCGACACCTCCCATCCGAAGAAATCGTGTACCTTGAATGACGTGGATCCAGATGCAAGGATTTTATTTGACAACGTTTTCGGTCGTTACATCTTCTGGGTTGTAGTGGGATTGGATCCGGGGAGTGTGCGTGGTACCTCTGTCTGTGGGCTCGGGAGGAGCCCGAAGATGCCTAACAGTATTACAAACGGAAGTTCTTCACCATCGGTGGCTGTGACATTGTCGTGGCGAGGACGAAGTTGGTTTTCGTGCCATATCCATCTATCCGGTTCAACTGTCATTTCGTATATTACGGAACTATGGTTACCTACAATCCCTGCTGTGCCTATGATGGCTGGGTTTGTAATAACAAGCGTAGACCAAATCAACAATTAAAAATTTTGAATCTTATGTGTGTATTGGGAGTACAGACGGCTTTTCAGACAGTAACATTGCATCAAAAAGAGCGCGTGGTTTTTTCCCATAAGGAATTCGGCAAAGGAGGATCCATTTAGTATTGCCGGGTTTGGTGTGTTTTTGTAAACCATAAGAAAATCTTTAAGTTTGTATCCGTAGTTCCCTGCCCTCACATCATTAAGAGAGCCCGTTTGAATGTGTCAATAAACCATTCTACCTGACCATTTGATCGAGGATGGTCGGCGGGATGTGAACGTGGTTAATAATACTGCGACGACCGAAGTCCTAGAAAAGTGTGGATGTGTACTGGGTTCCGTTATCCAAAAACAGGAGCTGCCTGAAAATTCTGCCACGAGCTGAGATGGTGGATGACGTTGTCTCCTGTGACAGTGAGATTATCGACGGCTACCTACATGTTGCGTCAATAACGATTGGATACATAACGCCGTTGTGTGGGCCAGCGAAATTGACATGTACGTGCGACCACAGCTTATCGGTTTTAGTCCACGTTTCTGGAACTATGCGGGAGGATTTTTGGCAACCTGTCGGCAACCGGAACATTGTTGGACCAACGTCTCTATTTCCTTTTCGATACTCGGTCAGTAGACGCAGCTCTGGACGATGAATGTCGTACGTTCTGCACTACGATGGCTTGTGTGGAACTGACGCAAGACGATCGGTCGAAACGAAGTAGGGAGGACAATGCGTTCGGCAAACAGTAGGCAGGAATCGAATATGGACAAGCAGTCTCGACAGAGATCTCCAGTGGACGCTGTCACGGGCTATCGATAGCGGTATTTATTTGTTCCTTGGAGGATAGGTTCGGTGTTCGTTACTCTTTTGATGTCACATAAAGTGAGAAAGGGAGGGAGAGAGAGGGACAGCCACAGTCAGATGGGCATAGACATTTGACTTCAGGGAGACGGCAGCGATGATCGTATCCTCCCGCTGCTCTACAGTTGCACTGCGTAAGCTGGAGAGGGCGTAAGCAGCCCTGAAATCTTGCGTCCGCCGGTAGCAGATTCCAAAGACATAGTTCAACAGAAAGTTTCCACAGCGCTGCAAATTAACCAGCAGAATACGTCGGGACCACCTTTTTACATCCGAAAACAGCAAGTAACGGTTTGTGATCCTTCAACAAGCGGAAGTGGCGAACGTAAATCATATTGTGGAATTTCTTCACAGCGAACACTAGAGCCTTCTTTTTCGATTTGAGCATGATTCTTCTTGACTGTCGTAGGTTTGCGAGCAACTTGCATGATTGCTTGCTCCGAACCATCGTGAGAAACGTGGAGATGACGGCACCGACGCTATAGCTGGAAGCGTCTGCAGCGACTACGCCCGGTAGTTTGGGATAATAATATGTAGGGAGTAGGTCGGAAATAGGCGTCCTTTTTAGGTGGTTGAATGTACGTTCACATTCCGCTGATGACGACCAAAGGCTGACCTTTTTGAGCAATTTATTCAGTGGTACTTTAACATCGTGGAAAGCCAATAAGAACGCGTCGTAGTGAGTCACTAGCCCGAGTAACGACCGTAAATAGGACACATCCTTCGGAGCAGGCATCTCATGGAGTACTCGAATATTTTCCGTGTCGGGATGGCGACCGTCTCCATCGATGATGAAGCCAGGAGGAGGAACTGATACTTGTCCGGTTCCAGCCGGAACCCGTATTCCTCAACACGACGTAGAACATCAGAGATATTTTCGTATCGCTCCTCAGTGGTGAGAAACACTATAAAGATAGCGTCGATACACTGCAGCGCTGATTACGCCAGAGATAATAAAATCCATTGCCTATTAAAAATAGAAGGAGTTGAGTACACCGAAAGGCAGGTGGGTATATTGCAACAAACCACGGTGCGTAGTGATAGCAGTTAACGAGATTACGTGCATGCTTCAACTTGCAAGTAGTCAGCCGCCAGATCCTACTTGGCAAAACAAGTTCCACCATTAAGCATGGTGAAGAGATCTGCCAGATTTGGCAGTGGATGGTAATAATCTTCTAGAGAAGAATTAAATTTGGTAGGGAAGTCGGTACATATTCGAACTGAACCAGTTGCATCTTTGACGAAAACAATCGGAGCTACCCATGCAGAATAAGTCACCGTAGAGATGACGCCCAGTTCTTCGAGACGCCGTGGTTCTTGATATACCATCGGAAGTGTAGCGTAGGGCACTTGTCTCTTTGGGTGAAAGACTGGAACACAACCAGGCCTTAACCGGAGAGTTGCTTGAACTTGTGTGCAACAACCTGTCATCCTGAAAAGCATAAGGGAAGTCGGCGACTGATGACGTTCAGTGGGTTGGCGCAATATCAAGCTTGTCTATCCAATCCAACCCAAGCACATTAAGACTGGAGTCAGAAAGATGGCAAACATCAGTGGTGGTGGAGTCGCCGAAGGTGACAGAACAGGAAAGCTGATTAGTTAGCGGGCCGAAACGCCACAAGCACTGATTACTTCTCTGTAGGTAGGTTAAACAGGTGGGCTACACATGGACATCCATTGTTTCTTGAAGATTATCGTGTTGTCAAACGCAGTGTCCAGTTACAGTTCGGCGAAATGCCCGTTGATTGTTACGGATACTAATTTTTGGCGAGAAGCGAAATCTCGTTTGAATGTAGCTAGGAGGCTAAGAGAGTGAATGGTCTGAGTTGGACGTCTTAACCGTTGTTTCGATCGCATGTACTTCCTAAAACGGGACAGGCCGACAAAATTCATCTTTATGATCAACTTTGTTATACCGCTGACATCGGTGGTGTCTGAACAAGCAAAAGCGAGCGAAACGGTATCCACCACAGTGTCAACAAGGTGATGCGGGTGTTTTCTTATTGACGAAATAGAGTGGATGACTGGTGTTTGCAAAATATTTGGGGGTCACCAGTGGGTGAATGGAACAGAGAAGGCAGTTACCATTTTGGACCATGACTGTATCGTGTTCCAGATTAATCAGGCGCAGGAATTCAGTAGTGTCAGTCTGCAACGTCATCTCAGAGCCCTACTGAACTATTCTTAAGAGCCGCCTACGTGTGCCGAGATCATTTAGTGACTGAAGACCGCATACGAACACGTGGTATTTAAGCCGGTCATCTGTGAGAGTAATTTGTATCGTCCACCTTCGCGATTAACCCGCCCGCGATTTGTGTTAAAATCGTCCACGTCACGTTTCACAAATTTGAGGCACTGGTTGCGAATATTGAAAATGGATGACGGTTCACGGAATATTTGTACTGTCTCGTCGAATGAACGATCGCGTAGGTGCTGTGATAAGATAAAATTGGACTATTTGTCGTGTTCGGTGAAACCGAGCTTGGGGAGCAAAAGGCGAATTTGCCATGCATCGTCACGACTAGCAAACAGAGCGCGGAATAAGTCTTCGTACCGCTTAAACCAAAATTTAAGTGTTACGTTTGCCGAAGGATGGAAACAAAATTCGGTGATGCTGTTGGCAACTTGTTCACTGGACTCAACGATGTGGTAGACTGTCCTAGCGGGTACCCAGACAAGCGCTCGGCAAACGAGTCCATCAGCTTCATCTGTTTCTGCAGGGTCAACTTGATATCGATACTGTGGATACTCATTGGTTAAGAGACCTCCATCGCCAGATTGTTACGATTCAAAGGTCACTATCGCAATGCAGTACGAACACACGCAGGCACAGTAAACCCACAAAAGGAACACAACTCAGCTCACGGACGGAACACATATTCGGCTTCCGATCGAATGCCCCAAACCCAACAAGGCAAGAGACAAGATCTCCAAACAATATCTATCATGACGATGACTCGGGCGTCCAGCAATGTAACCAATGGGTATTAATAAGCATAATAACGGCTTTGTGAGAGTAACCAATCACGCCTACTATTAAAAACACATTTTTGGTTATAGTGTAATTGCTGGAAAAAAATGGCGTTTTCCAAACATTATCACTGACAGAAAATCAGGATAGCATGTTAGCTCGAATGAACTACGCTCAGAACTATGGGTGGCTTGAAAGCGATAGAAAAGAAGGTGAAGGTGAGGTGAAAACACAAGTGCATGCCGAAATCCCCGGCAAATGATGCATTATGAGATCGTACTGATCGAAATAACTGTGTTTCATAAGTAGGTGTCGAGATACCGTTCGGTGTTTGTTTTGCAGGAACACCAATGGATAAATAGCCGAACAAATCATTTCGTTATTTAAGGGATAAAACTGGAATGGTAATGCAAATGTGGAACACCGAAAAGTACGTCCGGCAGTTCCTGCATGCCAAATGAGGATTTGTAAGCGTCGTTGGTCAGGATATAGAAGGATTGGAAACGTAGAGAGGGAATACGAAGATTGTCGAAAACAAATGCCTGCAACCGCGGGGTTAAGAGAGGGTAACGGTAATGCATATGGTGGAGAAAGAACCTACCGGCATAGCAGCACCGACGGTGGGCCAAATGTTCCAGAATCAATGCCTGTCGTCCGATGGCTGGGGCCAGGCCAATGGGGAAGATATCTAGTTAAAAAAATGCCATTAACTGATGAGATGCTATTGAGTATAATGATAGGTAAACCGCAGTTCAAAGAAAATGAAAAGGCCAAACGAAACAAACAAAATTATCTTCGTTAGGGGGCCGCGACTGGACTACATGCACCCCAAAGAGTTGACGCAGGGGTTTTCCAACGACAGATATGTGCCGGACGACAGATGGCTCAACAGGGGTCGCATAGACACTCAGAAGGCTTACGTAAGGTGGAATCAAACAGTTGTAGTATTGTTTGCAGATGGGTTAGCACGAAGAGCCCCAGACAAAAGCAGTGAGCGGAACCTCATGTGAATAACATAGAGGGTAGCGAACCTTCTTCTGGGTAAACCAAATTTCGTTAGACAAAATCATAAATACTTACAAGGCAATATCAATCAGTGACACAGAGCACTATCAAACTAAAAAGATTTACGCCACATCCATACCTGACAAATGTAGGTGCGGTCAAGTCAGGTACCTCAGTATGATCCGTAAATTGCAACCCTGTACCTCGTTACAAAGGGGTCACAAACACCATATACGCAAATCGTATACTGGCGGATTGTCCACCTTTATGAGTTTTAATCAGCTTTGCCGTTGGATACCCAGATTAGTGTCCGTGATCAATAAGCAATTTGCAGCAAACTTCAAAGAGGGGGAAATCAGAAAGCGGAGGAATGCGAATGCAAAAATTGAAAAGATCTCCCTACGCTTCCTTTGCTCGCATGTGAATGCCGTGGGTGACATCAGTCTCATCGCCTCCCATATCAGTTGTGCCAAGGTAAAGCAGATCGCCCGCGTCAGATTATGGCATGGTGATTCGGTTACTTAAACCGACGCAAAACGGTAGACAACGTAAATGAGTTGCACTACTGGCGAGTAAAATAAGGTAGCGTAAAAACACGTTACAATTTACCCACTGAGAGATGATAGGAGATGAGTTTTAGACTGTGTGAGAAAGTTAGTATTGAAACCTATTTCCAGGTAATCCATGTTAACAAATTTTTCGTTGAAAATCTCTAGCAAACACAGCATAAAACAGTACGGGAATGACTTAAATATTAACCAGAGTTTGATTTTCATAGGGTCAAGATATAATTGGGCACTCCAGTGCAAACTAACAAAAAGTTACAAGTGCTACTTGGCGGTAGACGTCCAGCGATAACATCTGTAGCAGGAGCATCGAAAATAATGCCTATAAACGTTCTAACAGCTAAATATAATATAATTAAACTCACACTGGAACTGTCATGTCCTGAAAGGTTAGTGGCTTTGATCCACTTCCGCTAAATTCGCGAAACCTATAGCAAGTGGGATTCCTGAATGGAAATAAGATCTAGGCTGAAAAGTAAACGTTCTGAAGCTGGAGATGCGAGATGATCGTTGCTGGTTGTTGCGTGGAACACATGCAACGATTATATATATGGTTGGCGGCATCCGGTTCCGGATTTGCCTGTCACTGTGTCCTCCATAGGATAACCACAGGACGCCTGCGCTTACAGAGAAACCATGGGTGGCTTGCGCTGCAACAATCACAGCTCCATCCACACACCCCATATCCAGTGTAAACCCGAAGGATTAAGACCGGGAGGTACGTAGATAGGAGCCGCGTTTTATCAACGGAGCCGGCCCACACGCCTTTAACAGTCAGAGTAGAAGCATTCATGTCTGGTTGGGGAGTCATGCGTACCAGACGTACACAAGACGGTGGCTGGGTCGTAGCCCGTTCGGACTGGATGCATGGAATCACAATTTGAGCCTAGCATGGGAGTAAGAACTGTACTACTCGTCCTCCAAGCAAAGATTCACAGTCTCCAGGAGCCAGTAATCGAGGTGGAGGGTGCTAGCCAGGTAGGCACGTTGTCAACATTCAAATCTAGCGCAGCCACACGGGGGATATCAACCCGCAGGCAACATATGAAATGCAAGAAACCGAACACACGTGCACACTTCTGACCAAATGCAGCGATGATGTGGCACACGCACCGCAACGACCTCATTAGTTGCCTGAGTCAGTAAATTGCACCAAAGTAGTGTACTTCTCAACCGCTGCGTTGACGATAGTTAGCTTACTCGTTTCTCCTGGATGTTCGTCCCACATGGTCATGTTGATGACTTACGAAGCTGGCTTGGATGAGGCGCACACGACCGTATCTGTTACAGCATCATGTGGTTGACGTCGGTGAGCTAGACTCCACTGGTGTCTGTCTCTTCCTCAAACGGCGTATCCTTTCGCATACAACAGTGATTTCTACTGCACCGACCCTCTTGATAAAGCACATGCATTTAGCGCCGAATAATTGCAAATGACTCGCAACACGCTAAAAGTAACGATTAGTTCGTGACAAACACAATTTGATCACGGCCCTGGTAACCACTGAGCGTTCGGTTTTTTTCCCACGGTGTCACTTCCCTACACTTTGTCCATGGTGGCAGCCTGTCTTAGTGTATCGCGGAGCATCAATTCCATGCGGCAGACATGCCCGTTCCAACTCAGGTTCCCGCAGCAGAAAGTATGCAGTCCACCGTGCATGAAAGTGCCACCGCGGTGGGCAGCTCTTACGTAGAGCGAATAGCTCGATCAGTCTAACCGATGCGCAGAATCCGACCAGGCCACAGTGTTGGATGGGTAGTGTGTTCTAGATGAACGCACCATCCTTCCGTATAAAGCGTTCATGGTTTCAACTGCCGTATAGAAGAACGGTACGGAACCACGCGACGTGTGTATTCCATCAGCTTCGTTCCAACGGTCAGAGCTGATGATGGTTCTTCCGACACCATATATGTATACTTCCACCAGGTTTCCAAATGCGGCAGTCGTCTTTGACAAGCGGATACGCAGGCCGGTAGATATTGCACTCTCAAGGTAGTAAATTCGGGAGGTGGTTCATAAACGTCACCACCAATGTGGATTTGGAACAATCGTATGGATTCCATTACTGGTGGAAGCTGAAAAAGTCGAACAGTCTTGCTTGTGTTGATGGTGAGTCCGAATTTGTCGGAGGTAGAAGAGAGGGCCGAAGGCATGTGGTACAAATCCTCCACGTTGTGCGCAAACAACGCAGAGACTTCAGCAGACAGCAACATATGAAAGGTTCTCTCACATACTACTGTTTCCGCCCCGAACCGACAGACGTTCAGCAACCCGCCATTATTACGGTGCGCCAAACGGACACCGTAATCACAAGCAGTATAAAAAACACAGGACATTATTGCATGAAAGTAAATAGTAGACAGGGTAGAGGCTAAGACAGTCTTGCTTCGTACCAGAGACAACAGCAAAGTCATCCAAGGTTTGCCCACAGACCCGTAGACACACCCGCATATCATTGTGCAGATATTAAATTGAACGTACAATGTTACTCGGACAACCAAACTTACCATGTACCAGCCACTGTGCCTCACGGTTTATCCTATCAAATGCTTCGGTGAAGTCTAGAAACAGCGAGTACAATGGCTGGCGTCTCTAGCTGAATTCCCGCTGCAA